CCGAATAGCATTGTCGTGCATATTTGTAGTTTTATCGATACTATTTATACTAATACATGCTGGCTTATAGGGGAAAACATCATATTCTTCCACTCTGAATAGTTTCTATACATAATACATATAGTATTAGTAATTAGTACACATAATACACATAGTATGCATAGTATATAGTATATATAATATAAATCTTTAGTCCATATAGCCGACTAAAATCTTCTTCTTCGCCATTCGTTTTCTTTAGTCATTTTGTGACTGTTTCCAGCAATATCTGAAGAACGTTCCATGGAACTTGGGCTTTTTCCCATGTTCCATAATAATTCCAACGTAAAATTTGTTTGTTTGTACTTTGTCGTGAGTTCGCAGACATTTGTAACCACATCCATTCAAGAATATGTAGTCGGCTAGCCTTCTCTACGATGAAAGGCCAATCCTAGTCCGAATCATTGACAATATCTGGTGCTAGTGCTTTGGTTTCTTGGAAAAGGATGAAAGTTTACATCGATAAAATTTACCTCCCGATTAGCAGATTCAGCATCATAAATATGTGTTGACGGAGCTGTCGGCAAGTCTTTTTTTTACAGCTCTTCGTAAATGCCAATAACACAGCTGAATTTTTGTTGTAGGCCAAGTTTCTTTTGCGGCATTAATTTGCGCCCAATCAGGAAAAAGTCTGGACTTTGCACCATTGCGATACAATGTGCTAATTAGTGCTGACCGCGTTTGCTGCAGTATCAAGGAATAAATGTGCCATTGGATATTCAGCTCCATTAATTTGCCCGACGATAGCATAAAGTTCGAAGCCTAATGCATTCGTTTTATCTGTAAACATAATGTATTAGCGACGTTCAATTACTTAAGAGTAAAATTTTTTTACTTACATGTTGCATCACAAATTATTTCGCGATTATTTTTCAAAATATCAAAAAAAAATCGTTGAAAATCCAATACACTTAGTATCAGGCTCATAACAGTACATCAAAACATTAAGATTAGCCTCATCTAATAGAATTTTGGCAGAGATTAATTGATTGTCGTTCTTTTTGTATATGTTTGAATTTGCCGAGTCCACCAATAATGAACTTGTTTGGGTAAGGTCTGGATGGTTCAATGTAACGTAATTTCTTTAGGCGTCATTTCCCCATAAAACTTTACTTTCAAAATTCCGTTACAGTTAAATCGGGTCATGGATGTTTTATCACGTTATTTGTCGATGTCAGAATTTTTTCTTGGATTTTTTAGTAAGACTTCAGTAAAAACGAAAAGCAGTCACGTCTTTGCTTGAAGATAATGTATGTTTATTATGAAAACTAACGAGAAAGGTATTAGTATGTTAGAATAGATACATTGTTCAAGGCAACATAAAACCTGATACGTACTTGTATGTATATCCGTCGCAGTCTTGAATAAATCTTACAACGCTTTTTGCTATGTATTTCCTTCAAACTCTTCTGCTTTAATCAGGCATTCTAATCGAATTTCCCGAGCGTCATTTCTACAAAGTGTTTGATCTTTTGTTTTAACGCGGATTTTTCAAGCTCTTCGAAATTTAAATCTGACCGCCGTTTTTTGATCGTTCCTCACGGCATTTAGCACAAGTTTTTCTTAGTTTTCCACTTGCTATTTAAAGATGGGAAATTTCTTTTGTAGTACGGCAACGGGTACAAGTTTGCTTTTCTTCTTTCATCGTTAAGAGAATTATGTTAATCAATTTGTAGCTTGTCAGTTTTATTACTTTTGCAATCCATTGATTTTTGCAATTGAAGCATTAAGCAGCATAAAAATTTTTGACTTGCCTCAACAAGTGGCATTGACTTTAGGATTGAGTGCCAGTTCAGCAGTGAATCAAGTATGGCGAGCTGGATCTCTTGGACGAGATGGCATGTGGTAGCCAAAAAGAGAAAGACTGCATGTAAAAACCAGTTGAAGCCTTTTTTCCATCTGCGGAATTGGTATGAATTTGGATTGTTCGAGATAAGGTCACTGACAAAATATACAATAAAGTCTAAAGCAATTAACAAGTGTAGTATCTAATAACCAGAAAAGCAAAGGAAACCATGTCCAGCGAACAGTTAACTGACAATTATAGTACCCTCTGAGTTGGTCTGCAATATCCACCCCACCCATATAATGGTTATATCATCAATAATCTAGAAAACCTTTCCCAAACGATAGATTTCCGAAATTAATCCCATCGGATCATAATCGTCGATTGATACTCGAGGTTAAATAAATATCTACGGATTAGCGTATACGATACGAACCTTTCGTAAGTATTCAAAGCCTGTTAAAAGGTCACTAACTGTTTTAGAAGAATTAGCATTAGTAGGCGTTGCCGATACGACCGTTGGAAGACGCTAAATCTCAAGGAGGTTACACGATCGCTCTCCCACGTGTAACGTCACGACAACACTATGAATGTGACTGTGTGGGAGGAAATTTACTATGAAAAAATTCGGGACTGAACAAATCTGTGACTGTAAGCAAATGTGACTGTATGGGAGGTGACTGTATGGGAGGTGACTGTATGGGAGGTGACTGTATGGGAGGTCGACTGTAAATAGAAATAATGAGTGCATGACCAAAAATGTCATGCTGTTTGCTTTTGCCAAGAAAAATAATAATAATTATGATTGATATGTATGCGGAGCGATGTCATGCGTTTTATTTCAAAGAAATGGCTCAGCCAGCTAAATGCTGAGCCTAAACCTGCAAATCGGAGATGTCATAGTCTCATGGAACATGCAAATCGTCAATAACCAGTAAGTTGCATATTTACAGCAATCAACCAATCAAGATTGATAATGCGTCATTCTATATCTGGAGTGATCATTGCATGATCTATTTCGAGATGTACTACAAACATATGTGACTACTACTACTACTACATAAAGGATGCACAACTTGACATTATTCTTACCATAATCCCTCTTCTTATATTAGATTTCATGAATCTTCTTCAATAAACATTTCCAAATCTAGGTCATGTGCCGTTAAATAACGTATGTATATGATAATCAGACTTTGCTCTCCATATTATATGGAAACAATATCCAATCCTTTCTTGAACATGATATTATATTGTCACAAAATATTATGACATGCGAGAAATGTTAATATTAATTCCTTCCAAGCATGAGAATAAATCAGATACTTGCGATGGTGATCCAGGACACAGGGATGATGGATTTGATTTCTTGGTATATGCTTTTGTGCATACTTTAGCCTTCTTCTTCGGAGTTGATAAACATGGAGATATTCGATGCTCATCTTTGTCTCGAGGTCGTTTTCGAACCCAGCCCTTTTAAATGATTTGACTGTTTGTTTTTTTGCTTGAACTGTCTTTATTATCTCTTGAACCATAGCCTAACATTCATATTAGTACAGATATAATCATTAGGTGAAAAGCATGAACTTAACTAACCTTTATAATCAGAACAGATGCGAGAATTGTGAGGATGTCAGGAAAATTTTCTGTATTATCCGGAACTTCCATTAGTTCACCACGTTGCACCCTACAGATGTAGCCTTTTGGGTTGTCCAAGCAGACCGTCATAATCATAAGGCCTATAAATTATATTAGCTAACAGCAAGAACCCGATGGATTCTTAAAGACACAAGGACATACCAGCATGAATCATTCCAACTGTTTGAATTTTTGCACGACTTTCTTCATCCCAACCTGCCTTCTCCATCAATTTTACTAACATATCCTTGAGTGTCTTAGGTAGCTTTAATCCCGCTTCCTTGAGAAACTTCGTTCCATTTTTGTCCACCCAACTTTTTCCAGCTTCCCCAGCTCCAAACTCATCTCTATCGCCATTACTAATAGATCTCAAGATCCAATCAATCCTGCGACCCATTTTCCGCCGTTCTCCTGACAGTCTTTTTATATTTTTTCGTGATGCCGATGCCAAGCTTGTACTTTCCCCTCTAAATTGTTAAAGGAAACCTGTTAGATATATCAAAGCAAACTATATTTTTTTTAGAAAGTTACCTGACGACAGATATCACATCTACATCTCCAAAAGCTTGATCGAAGACCACACTCCACACGTGGCAATTAAACCAGGCTTCAAGATTTGCATCTTTCAAGCTTCCACTTTGAATTTCTCTCACTCTATAAAACAGAATTAATCAATTCACTATTGATGCATCTAAAGGATTGCAATGATATCTACACCATGTGCAAGCCACTGAAATACTTACAATGAATATAAGGAATAGATTATGTAATCCTTATCATGATCTTTCTCATGATTATAATTATCATCAAATATCATTTCCTTTATGAGCTTTCGAATTTCCTTCAAGCTCGTCTACAACAGAAAAAGAGATTAATAAATTATCACAGTACATATATATTTGTCAGTAACATATAAATGAAGTATTACCTTGTCAGCGAATTTGTTTAGAAATCCAGTGATTTCTTCAGAGAGCTCGGGTAGCTGTGGGCCAGGGACACAATCAATTTCGTCTAGTTCTGCCTTGCTGAAATGCTGGCGAATTATCTCATCCTCGACATCCAAAATAAAGGAATGAACAGCACTAGGAAATAAAAACGACAATTTAGTACAATTTTTGTTTTCCATAATACAGTTACTACCGAAAATCCACCTATATAAACACTGACTGCTCAAATCTTAACTTCTTCCCCAATTCGAATAATTCTTCCTCGACATATTTTCCTGTTGAAAGTCTCCA